TCCGTGTCTTTATGAATTACACTGGAGTTCTATCTCCTTAAATACTGTTATGTATAGTTAAGGCAATACGCGACCATGAATACCGGTCAAAAATAGAGATAAGATTGTCGAGACAAGATGTAACCAGACCATGCACTAAACACTTTGCTGACTCACTGAAATATATTTACGCATTACGACAATATCACCTGGTTGTTGACCATGTCGCCTTTATTACGAGCATGGTTTGACGGGGCTATGTGACAGTCTCGTATTAACACAATTTTTATTAGATTCAGAAACACAGATAAACAGTAAATTATCGGAACCGACAATGGCATCTTTAGCTTTATTCTGATTTATTGTAAAGAATGAATAGTGGTTAGGTAACATTAACAAATAATTAATATGAATAATTTATTTTATAAGGCGCCCGAAATCCAGCTAAAATCTGCCCGAAAGCACAAATACAATAACAAAAAGTACATACAAAATAAAAAAATAAATATGAATGAAAATGAAAGTTTTAAATACATACACATAAAACAACAGTGAGTAGTTACTAACGATAATAAAATTAGAAGAATTAGATGAAGGGCTGACCGTTCTTGGTATAATAGTTCAAAATAGATAATGAAATCGAAACCAACACAGACCATTTAATTATAATTTAACACACACGCGTTAAACCACTAGACCACCCAAATATAAAAATATTAAATATAAAAAAATTACACAATAAAGAGATATTAATATTTTAAACCCGTATTTTTTTGTTTATCAAGCAATTACATTTTGAATATTAATTGTGAGATAAGCGCACTAACATTCATTCGTCAGTCATGACGTTAGACTTTTGACCAAACTAGATTGAAGGGGAATTATTCTGGTACTGTTTAATTAGCGGGGAATATATACATTTTATAATAAAACAACATGAAAAGATATTATTCGTGTTGATGTTAAAGTCTGTGATGGGGTGTTGGGTGTTTGTGGGTGTGTGCGCATGTGAGGGGCGGGACCGGGCGGGGGGGGGGGGGGGGTCAAATTTAAATGACATCTACTAGTTTTCAAAGGTTCCACAATTTGAAAATTTGTTTTGTCCAAAAATATTTTGGCAAGAAGTATAAAATATTCCCCAAAATAAAAAAAAATAAAGTATGAATTCTTTCTTTAAAACAATAAATGTCCAAATAAATAAATGATTTCGACAATTGCAAACGAGAATTTCTAAATTCGCCATTTCGTAAAACAGGGTTAGTTTATGGGGCCGCCGTCTCATTTTAATCGAAGTGAACCCTGATGCAATTTACGATAGGTTATAAGATGTAGCTCTCATTAATCCAGTGATTGTTCTAAGGACATCAAGATTTACGTTTTCAAGGTACAGGACCTTGGTTTTTGTAGTACACTCATTTCGGAGTACGTCCACGTAGTCGAATAATAGGAAACATTAAAGCCCAGTATATTGATTCTAGATATTTTAAACTTCTGACACAAATCAGTCCTTTTATAAAATCCAGTGATTGTTCTAAGGACATCAAGATTTACGTTTTCAAGGTACAGGACCTTGGTTTTTGTAGTACACTCATTTCGGAGTACGTCCACGTAGTCGAATAATAGGCGACATTAAAGCCCAGTATATTGATTCTAGATATTTTAAACTTCTGACACAAATCAGTCCTTTTATAACGGAATAATTAGTATGAACAGCCCCATTAATAGTAAAACGGAAATAGAGGGACCGCATCGCTTACGTTTTTCAATACCCGATGGTTACTACGATACTGGACACGACATAATCAATCATTTCAATAAATCGACGTTGGAGGTTGGGGCATCATTATCTATCGTGAAAGATCCCGAGGGTTATGTCTTATTACTCCTAGGAAGAGACGGTCGAAAAGTCCATTTGTCCAAGAATTTAGCCCGGATATTCGGGTTTATGAAAGAGAATGAATTTACAAGCAGTGTGAAAAGTGACACAAAAGTCGATTTAGATTCCAATTTTCACAATATTTATATTTACACTGATATTATCGAAAATCAGTTGGTCGGTGATACAAGCGCCCCGTTGTTGCGAGCTATACAGGTGGATCTAGCTAAACCCTTTGGATCGGCTGTATATAAAACGTTTGACAACCCCCTATTATATTCCAGTCAACAAACATTACATAGACACGGTTGAACTCGGACTTTACACGGAACTAGGACAACCAGTACCATTTGAATTTGGACACGTTCTTTGTAAACTGCACTTGCGCAAGGTCGAATAATGACGTGTCTACAACCCTACAGGTGTGACGATGCAAAGATACGACGTTATTACCTCAGTCAAACGGGTGACGGATTTCCAATTTTTACGGGGTCACCGTATCAGAAAGGTTATGGTTTAGGATCGGTTAAGCGCACCGTTGTTGCGAGCTATACAGGTGGATCTAGCTAAACCCTTTGGATCGGCTGTATATAAAACGTTTGACAACCCCCTATTATATTCCAGTCAACAAACATTACATAGACACGGTTGAACTCGGACTTTACACGGAACTAGGACAACCAGTACCATTTGAATTTGGACACGTTCTTTGTAAACTGCACTTGCGCAAGGTCGAATAATGACGTGTCTACAACCCTACAGGTGTGACGATGCAAAGATACGACGTTATTACCTCAGTCAAACGGGTGACGGATTTCCAATTTTTACGGGGTCACCGTATCAGAAAGGTTATGGTTTAGGATCGGTTAAGCGCACCGTTGTTGCGAGCTATACAGGTGGATCTAGCTAAACCCTTTGGATCGGCTGTATATAAAACGTTTGACAACCCCTATTATATTCCAGTCAACAAACATTACATAGACACGGTTGAACTCGGACTTTACACGGAACTAGGACAACCAGTACCATTTGAATTTGGACACGTTCTTTGTAAACTTTGCTTACCTGTTACAAATTCAAAGGGTTAGCGGAAGTTGTGTGGGCTGTGGGGGGGGGGGGGGTAGACAATGCAATTCTTTTAATATGAATATTGTTTTATTTTACCAATACCTATCTGATTTGTTCTTTTCTGTAGATTGTTAGCTTTTACTGACTACATACTGGCACGGTTGAGGATGGTTGAGGGAACGAACCATGCGTTCAAGAACATAATCAACGTTCTCGCCACTTATAGGGAGCTGGCAGATTGGAACCTGCCATCAAATTAATTGTCCGTAAAAAAAAAAAATATATATATATAACATTATGGCTAAATAAAATATTATAAAAAAAAGGCTGTTGTTGGTTTCTTAGTATCGACACGGATTGAAGAGTGTAGACCTGTGAAGTGGGTTTTTTGAGGTTAGGGCGGGGCGGGGGTGGGGTGGGGTGGGGTGGGGGGTTGGTGTGTGGGATATAAACAGCCTTTGATAAACAATCACAACATGCTCAACTGTCAAGCTTAATAGCGGAGATCATTGTCCCTTAATGCAGGTATAACTACGCCTGACGTGAACTCAATGTAACCTCTGCACACCTGTCTATAAAGCGAAATATCTTCCCCCCTACCCTCCAATAAACAATTCGTGGACCCCATACCCTCGTTACAAAAGTCAAACACGATCAAAGAATACAACACCTGCATACCTTTTTTATTATTCATAACCTCATTGTTCAGTCAACAATAACCATATTCAAACTATAAATAGAACACCTGTGGAATGCTCTGACGTCAGACCTTAGGAATGTGTGACGTCAGACCTTTGGAATGTCTGGAATTCCAAAATTGCTCCGAAGAATCCTCTCTACTTCTGGGGCCTGACAAGGACAGCTGTCTAGTCCTTCGGATGAGACGAAAAACCGAGGTCCCGTGTATACATTGGAATGCACGTAAAAGATCCCTTGGCAGTTGGAATTCGATATAAGAGTAGGCGATAGTGCCGCTGCCCGGGCAAAATTTCCCTCATAGCACACTGTATGGCGTATGCCCGTCTTCATTAGCCCAGGTTAGGAGCAGAACAGTAGGACGTTAAACCCCATTTCATTTCATTTCATTTTGGTAACAAATACATTTGGATCAAGAAATGAGCCCCAAACGCAACTTATCTTGTTGTTCTTCCTGTTCTTATTCGGGTCGATGCTCTTCGAAAAAAGTCCAATAGCCGACAATAACTTGGCATCGTTTTGCTTGGACGATTGTACAACGATTTATTTGACATTCTTTCAGGATTATTATGGTCAAGAGTATTTGATAGAACCAAGTCACCAACAGGCTCTAACTATTATCACCTACACTGGATTAATCCTTTCTGTCATTGGATTAGGCTTAACCATTTTAACATTTCTGGTCTTTAAGTATTTAATCTTTACTGTATTAATGCCCCCGTCAGACCGGGTTGGTGTCCTTACTGCGCTGCTGCGACCGTACGGCGACCAGAAAATGCACAAGGTCGCCGGCAAACGTGAACAAAACACGCGAAAATGTCCCAAACAATTAAAAGCACGAAAAAAGTCGTGTTCTCATAGTTCAGATCGCAGAACCTTGGCGTTTGTTTTGAACATGCTCAAACCAAACACCGTGACTCGGCGATCATTGGCGACAATGGTGACCACAGCACGATAGCTGGCGTTTCCACCACGCGTATGGCGATCTTCACGCGCTCTGAAACCATTTTCCGTCGCCGTAGCAGCGAAGTAAGGACGCCACTCTGGTCTGACGGGGGTATAAATTAGAAATACATAAAACAAATTGCAGTTAAATATGCTATGTTAAAACTTGTTTTTTTCTAAAATAGCACGTATTTAATATTATGTTACCGACTTTAAGAGCATCCAATAATGAAGCACCATAATATATTAAGATCTACGCACTCCATACGAATACAGTAGAACCTTACAAACTCAGAACAAGTCATTATTACTGATTCCTTAAAGGCATGGGGAACTTTGCACGCTTAGTCCAAGGTTCATTCACGTTCTAATCTTTTATTTCAGAAAGCTACGAGAAGGTCGACCACAGCAAATCATGTTTAATTTAGCATTAGCCATGTTGTTTTCGTGGATTGTATTCTTAGCGGGAATCGAGCAGACTGGGGATCCCGTGGGTTGTATTGTTGTCGCAGTCGTTTTACATTATTTTATAATGGCGTCCTTCATGTGGATGTTAATGGAGGGCATATTACAATATCTTCTGTTTGTAAAAGTCTTAGGAAGCCATTTCAGACATTTTATGCTGAAGGCGACAATACTAGCCCTGGGTAAGAATATATAATCAATCAACTGTGTATCTTTGGTAACAAAAATTGAATATGAAATTTAAAACACCTTCAGTAAAGTATTAAAGTATTAGACCTTGCCATGTACCAGTAGTCCAGCATAACGATCGAAATAGTAAGTGCGGGGAGGGGAGGGGGCACACTACACATCAAACAAGATCGACAAGGCAATCCTGCGGACATTATAAATAATTCGTGTAGCAATCTAACAATACCCCAACTATAATAATAAAAATATATTTATATATGGCAGGTTTACCGGTTATACCAGTTGCGAGAATGTTAGCCATTGATGTAGAGCTGTATAACGGTGGTGAATCATAGTAAGTATTTATAATGATGTAGAGCTGTACAACATAGTAAGTATTTATATTGATGTAGAGCTGTACAACATAGTAAGTATTTATAATGATGTAGAGCTGTATAACATAGTAAGTATTTATATTGATGTAGAGCTGTATAGCATAGTAAGTATTTATATTGATGTAGAGCTGTATATCATAGTAAGTATTTATAGTGATGTAGAGCTGTATAGCATAGTAAGTATTTATATTGATGTAGAGCTGTGTAACATAGTAAGTATTTATATGTAGAGCTGTGTAACATAGTAAGTATTTATATTGATGTAGAGCTGTACAACATAGTAAGTATTTATATTGATGTAGAGCTGTGTAACATAGTAAGTATTTATATTGATGTAGAGCTGTACAACACAGTAAGTATTTATATTGATGTAGAGCTGTATAACATAGCAAGTATTTATAGTGGTCTAGAATGTTCATTAACCATAAGATGTAAAATTACTATGAGTAACCATCAGCAAAGCGAATCTCCATTTTAAATTCCAACTGTCAAGGGTTCTTTTAGGTGTCGTGGAAACAGGACCTCGGTTTTTCGTCCCATCGGAACGACTAATTCCTGATTTGAAAAACAACTTGGTCTTGAATTAATATATATATAATTGAAATTACTTCCCCTTATGTTTCAGTTGTTGGATGGGACTACAAGGAATGTATTATGGTTTTGCTCTACCTCTTGGCTTGATTATGTTGGCTAATAGTATCATCCATATCTTGGTCACGCGCAGTATCTGTAACAGAAATAATCTCAATACAACAGCCCTTCAACACTCAGTTACTAACATCAGAGCCTCATTCTGCTCTTTCATTTTTTTAGGTGAGTTGAAATTCATAAATCTATACGTGACAGAAACATACACAGGGCCAAATGTTATTTGTTTAATATTAACAACAACGCAAGTATTATTTGGTTTTAAAGGAATGCTGTATCAAGCGGAATAAAATCAAAGATTGAGTTTAATTATCCTATATACTCTCTCTCTGACATTGTTGGCAATGTTTAAGTCTATGTTTGCAAAGAATTTTATGCACTAAAATGAGAATTTAACAGGTGTTTAATAAGCATGTTCACTACACCTGACATTGTCCAGCAAGATTTAGGTTTGAAAAAGTGTCTTGTCCCGATCCATAAAACATGATATTGCGTCCACCAACCCTCATGTTTTACTGTTGCCCATCTGTGAAGGTAAAGCAACATACATCTGATGCCCTTGGTGAGGATAAATAAATTGTCTCACAAACCTCGAATGTGTTTAACCAGATTTGTCGATTGTTGTATGTGCCTATAGAGTTTTTGCATTTAGACTACTCCCATTGAACAACAACAACTATATTCCAATCTGTTATATTTTAGGATTAACCTGGGTGTTTGGATTTCTGGCAATATCAGATGCTCGTCTGGTGTTTCAGTATATCTTCACAGTACTCAACTCTCTACAGGGTTTCCTTATATTTATCTTATTCACTGCCAGAGATAAAAACGTCAGAGATTACTGGAAACAACTTTGCTGCTGCTGCAGAATCTCGAGAACAATATCCAAACCTTCAGAGACCACCAGTTCCAATATGGACTTATAAGGATGAAATTAATCCACTAAAATCAAACATGGTTCATGTGAAATATTAATAAATCCACGAATTCAATTGGGTATATTCTCTTCATCCATGGATTAATATAATTATCATGACAATTCATGAATGTAATAGTATTTATCATGTCCGTCCATGAATGTAATAGTATTTACCATGTCCATCCATGGATTCAGTATACATGTCCATCCATAGATTCAGTATACATGTCCATCCATGGATTCAGTGTACATGTCCATCCATGATTCAGTATACATGTCCATCCATGGATTCAGTATACATGTCCATCCATGGATTCAGTGTACATGTCCATCCATGATTCAGTATACATGTCCATCCATGGATTCAATATACATGTCCATCCATGATTCAGTATACATGTCCAACCATGATTCAGTATACATGTCCATCCATGATTCAGTATACATGTCCATCCATGGATTCAGTATACATGTCCATCCATGATTCAGTATACATGTCCATCCATGGATTCAGTATACATGTCCATCCATGGATTCAGTATACATGTCCATCCATGATTCAGTATACATGTCCATCCATGGATTCGGTATACATGTCCATCCATGATTCGGTATACATGTCCATCCATGGATTCAGTGTACATGTCCATAAATGATTCAGTATACATGTCCATCCATGGATTCAGTGTACATGTCCATCAATGATTCAGTATACATGTCCATCCATGGATTCAGTGTACATGTCCATCCATGATTCAGTATACATGTCCATCCATGGATTCAGTGTACATGTCCATCAATGATTCAGTATACATGTCCAACCATGATTCAGTATACATGTCCATCCATGATTCAGTATACATGTCCATCCATGGATTCAGTATACATGTCCATCCATGATTCAGTATACATGTCCATCCATGGATTCAGTATACATGTCCATCCATGGATTCAGTATACATGCCCATCCATGATTCAGTATACATGTCCATCCATGGATTCGGTATACATGTCCATCCATGATTCGGTATACATGTCCATCCATGGATTCAGTGTACATGTCCATCCATTATTCAGTATACATGTCCATCCATGGATTCAGTGTACATGTCCATCAATGATTCAGTATACATGTCCATCCATGGATTCAGTATACATGTCCATCCATGGATTCAGTATACATGTCCATCCATGGATTCGGTATACATGTCCATCCATGGATTCGGTATACATGTCCATCCATGGATTCGGTATACATGTCCATCCATGATTCAGTATAGATGTACATCCATGGATTCGGTATGTCCATCCATGATTCAGTATACATGTCCATCCATGATTCAGTATAGATGTACATCCATGGATTCGGTATACATGTTCATCCATGGATTCGGTATACATGTCCATCCATGATTCAGTATAGATGTACATCCATGGATTCGGTATGTCCATCCTTGGATTCAGTATACATGTCCATCCATGATTCAGTATACATGTACATCCATGGCTTCATTATATATTGCCATCCATGGATTCAGTATACATGTCCATCCATGATTCAGTATACATGGGTATGTATAATTAATCATCATAACAATTTATGAGCATTGACAACAGTTGATACAGGAACACAATATAAGTATCATGATAATCCAACAGTAGGTTATAAGGTTATAGTTAAAGGGACAATAACACTCTTGCTGGCTTGAAAGCTCCAGAAAATAAATAATATCTCTATCTAAGTACTAGATGTTTAAGTGTCCCACCTGTTGTGTAAATTATCCATTACATCCTATTTTACTTGTCCAGAGGGTTCGAAAATATTTTTAAATTGAAGTTTCATTTGAAAAGGTTTACGTTAGACGTTTCAAACCATTATGTTGAATTTTTCAAAATTTCTAAATAAGGTGTGTTAATATGAAATTTGTATTATCAATTAATTGAAATATTGTAAAATAGTACAATTTGTTGACCAGAATAAAGATTGGGACATATTATTCAGTGACAACAAGAGTGGTATTGAGCCGTTAATCATCTCAATACAGGAATATATTTATATCACTATGCTCTTTTACTTTATCCAAATATATCTTTTAACCCGATTTATATATTGTTTTTCTCTTTTCTTTATAATTGTTTAATTTTATATTCATCTATTGGTCTTAAATAATATACATAATATAATGTAACCCGATTTTTATTTTGTTTTACTTTTGTTTTTGTTAATGAATTATATTATTTTATATTCGTTTATTGGTCTGTAAGAATTTCATTGTGTATATACATCAATTTGGGTTTAACGTCCTACTTTTCTGCTGGGCTTATGAAGACGGACATACGCCATGCAGTGTGCTATGAAATAAATATTGTCCGGACAGCGGCAATAGGGGCGTGGTGACACATGATTGTGCATGAGAAACAAGACCCCATCCGGGTCCCAAAAAAACAATATTTATATGTGTGTGTGAGGAAGGAGGGGGGTCCTTCCCAATGTCACCAAGTAACATTGATCTGTGTGAAAAATGCTTAATGGATTTGTAGTATATATGACCCAGGGTATATGTTTCATACTGCTTCAGCATTATGATTATAATTATAATGGTGAAAACCGCATTGAAACCGCGTGACTTTTGCCATTAGCGAGCGGGCAGTGCCGCAGAGTAATATTGGACTGTGTGGAATATGCCAAATTCGATTTGTAGCATATCTGACCCACGGTATATGTTTCATACTGGTTCAGCATTAAGATTATGATTATAATGTTGAAAACCGCATTGAAACCGCGTGACGTTTGCCATTTGTGGCTTACTGTTTTGGAACAAAAATATGTTATAACTAATGCGCGTCGATTTTATTCATATCGTCATTCACATTATCACTTTCACGATATATTAATTAATTTGAATAATAATCAAACTATCCCCACCCCCACGTGGTCAAATTCGTCGAAACACACTAAAATCGAGTCTTTTCAGATTAAGATATTTGGGTCCAGCGTTCCTTGAAACACACTCAAAATAGTTCATTGGTGTATTGCGTTTTATTTTTGAATCAAATTAAGTTTAACGTCGTCAAACCGGTCTAATGAAGACGGTGTGGTATGAGATAAAATTACCCCGGGCAGCAATTTCAAGTGTTCACGCCAGTATGTATACGGGACCTCGGTTTATATTCCTCATGAACGCCAGGGTGTATACGGAACCTCGGTTAATATTCCCCATGCTAAGCCCCCCCCCCCCCCTCGACCAGGTCCACTGACAAGGTTCTTCCTTGTAGCAGACAAATTCCCAAAGGGCATTTGAAACAGCCCTGCTGACTGGTTTAATAATAATAAGTGCAAAAGACAAACCCACGGACAAAACGCAATAGACATACTAATATAGACATTTCAAGCAATAAACCGTAAGCGTCCACTGCACTGTACAATCGAGAGTCTGTAATGATACAAGCTTTACTTAACATGAAAACAAACTAAGAATAAGAGAAAAAAATCCAAAAAGAAAGGGGGGGGGGATATTTCCCAAAAGTTGTATCATACTTATGTGACTCATGATCGGCTAGATGCTACAAGAAATCTCAATGTCAGCCCATTACAGTAAAATCCTTTCGTAGATAACCATTTTCGTGAAATGTACGACAAACCCAATTAAATTGTGACGCGCAACAATAAATTATTGTAAGTAGAAACAAACAAAATATTTGTTAAATAATATGAGTTTAAAGTACCCAAGCATTTAACTCAATATCATCCAAAGTCATCGACATTGAAAACACGAATTATTTGTCAGTTTAAATCAACATTGATGTTGTGATCTTACAGGGAAAAGATGGGCTTCTGATATCCAATATATTTAGCCAAAATAGACATTTTACCATTGGTGCACGAATCATGTACCATAATGCATTTCAGCGCCATTTGTAACAAGGGACTCGAAGAACGAGGCTAGATATATTGCACAAGTCACGTCAAACGGTTACGTCATATTCTTATCTGGAGAGCATGTGTAATAAATACTATAGGTCTAGAATGGAATAACCAGACACCAGAGATTGCCATTCGATTGAGACTTCTGACATATTTAGCCGAACATAACTGACTTGATATTACAGTATCAAGTCAGTTATGTTCACGTGGCTAAGTGGGTAAGACGCTGGCTCGCTAGCCTGGAGGTCGGGTGTTCGATCCCTGCATTGGCCGAGAAAATTCATCCAGATTTTCCGGCGTGGCTTCCCCTTGTCAGTGATGCAGGACGGAGGGTCTGACAAGGACAGCTGTCTAGTCGTTCGGATGGGACGAAAAACTGAGGTCCCGTGTACACATTGGCGTGCACGTAAAAGATCCCTTGGCAGTTGGAATTCGATATAAGAGTAAGCCCTAGCGCCGCTGCCCGGGCAAAATTTCCTTCATAGCACACTGTATGGCGTATGCCCGTCTTCATTAACCCAGTATAGGAGCAGAACAGTAGGACGTTAAACCCCATTTCATTTCATTTCATTTCGATATTAAAGTAAAAGCAGAAACGATTGAATGTAAATCAGTTTATATACATTCTTATTACAGGAAACCACACGACAAAATACGAAGTACTTTTCAGGGAAACATCTTTGAGGGGTCGGCTTTCTATTGCTTTGTTATGGAGGGGGACAGCGTTCAATAAGTTTGTTTTGGAGGGGGAACAGCGTTCAATAACTATGTTTTGGAGCGTGGACAGCTTTCCCTTTCTTACTTTGTTTTGGATGTGGAGCGGTGGTTGACTATTGGGGGGGGGGGGCATATTTTGTTTTGGATTGGAACGGCTTTCCTAACTTGTTTTGGCGAGCGAGTGACTTTCTGTTACTTTCAGTTTTTTTACTGGGGGTTTGTGTGTGTGTTGGGGGGGGGGGGTTGTTACTGTACTTTATTTTGAGGGGCGGGACTTTTTCTAACATTTTGTTGGAGAGGGTGTGGTTTTCTCCTACCTTGTTTTGAAGGATGAAGTACATGCCCTGATCTTGTTTTGGAGCCAT